TCGAAGTAAGAAAATCAGAAAATAAAAACTCATTTATCGTTTAAATGATTTGATTCATTTAAAACTTTTTTAAAACTTTTATTTAGGTCTTCTAACTTTTAAAATTTACAATACAATCTCCTAATATTTAGTTTATTTGCAATATGATCCCCCAACATTTAGTCTGTTTACAATATAGTCCCCGACCTTTTGATGCATTTACACTGCCGTTAGTACGTTTGCAATTTGGTCACTGAACTTTTCAGGCACTTACATTTAGGTCACCCAACTTTTAAAACTTGCAACACAGTCCTAAATTTTATTCTAAACCCCAAATTCCTTTCCGATCTCAAATTTCCTTTTTCGCTTTTCTGTTCTCATTTCTAGTGTAACTTTTCAGTCGGGGATGCATGGGAAATTCTAATCTAACTTTGAATTATGTGGAGGTGTTGACTTGAATAAGGGTCCATTGAAAGAAGACCCGACCAAGGGACTATCGGGACCATCAACGATTCAAGGTGTAATGTTAGATACATGTCATCTCAAGTGAAGCATAGATGTTCGATGAAATGCTTGTGAGAAAAAAAAGGGGTTAGAAATGCAGAGTTGAAAAATACTACTAAGATGAACTAAGTATCATTGTTGAAAGTCACCAACAAAGATAGAATTATTTTGTATAAATGACATATAATAATTACTTCGTTTAATCCTTGTGCTTAAAGATTTTCCAACAGATGATCAAATATAATGAAATCCTAAATAGCGCATTCACCTCTCAGTCTCTTTCACAACTCGAAAGGCATCATGACAGGGTCAAGTAGCTGCACCAAATATACTATCCTGTTATGATGTCTTTCGAGTTGCGTGCATGTAAAATTGTCATCTAAAGCTATAATTCAATACAATTCAACTATAAAATTTCCAAAACATGTAAAAAATTTAATTCGTTCACGATATATCAATCACATAATCAATATGAACTTATTAAAAAGAATACGAGCTCACATGACGCTGAAAACCATAGGTCGAATCAATACAATTCCCTGATTTAAAGAAAAACCAAACAAGAAGATAAAAAAAATTTAGCATAGGACCCTATTTCACTTCTATTCTGATGGACTGAATATCTTTCATAAGAAGTACTAAAAGTTTTGATTAAGAAGAAATAAAGAAAATTAGATGGTTTTTGTTCAAAACTAACACTAAATATCCAAATCATTGACATGCAGTTCCAGAAACATAAAAATTTCAACGAAAAACACACAATGCAAGCTGAAAATGGGAAAGTACGAAAGAGGAAAAGCTTACTTCTGGATAGCCCAAAAGAGAAAATAAATACATTCTTACAAGTGAGGGGAGAGACTAAGAAATAAACGCAATCAGTGTTGCGTTCCAGCAATTCTTCCTCAATTTTTTTTATTTGTAAATAAAAAGCTGAAAGACGAAGCACTGCTTGGGTTTACAATTTTACATGGCGGGAAATTGAAGAACAAAAACCAAAACGAGAGGTGAATAAGCTGTTTGGGAATTCATTATATTTGATCATCTGTTGGAAAATCTTTAAGCACAAGGATTAAACGAAGAAATTATTATATGCCATTTATACAAAATAATTCTAGCTTTGTTTGTGACTTTCAACAATGATACTTAGTTCATCTTAGTAGTATTTTTCAACTCTGCATTTCTAACCCCATTTTTTTCTCACAAGCATTTCATCGAACATCTATGCTTCACCTGAGATAACATGTATCTAACATTACACCTTGAATCGTTGATGATCCCTATAGTCCCTTGGCCGGATCTTCTCTCAATGGACCCTTATTCAAGTCAACACCTCCACATAATTCAAAGTTAGATTAGAATTTCTCATGCATCCCCGACTGAAAAGTTACGCTGGAAATGAGAAGAGAGAAGCGAAAAAGGAAATTCAAGATCGAAAAAGGAATTTGGGGTTTAGAATAAAATTTAGGACTGTGTTGCAAGTTTTAAAAGTTGGGTGACCTAAATGTAAGTGCCTGAAAAGTTCAGTGATCATATTGCAAACGTACTAACAACAGTGTAACGGCGTCAAACAATCGGGGACCATATTGCAAACAGACTAAATGTTAGGGACTATATTGCAAGTTTTAAAAGTTAGGAACCTAAATGAAAGCTTTAGAAAAGTTCAATGACCATTACTATACTTTACCCTAATTAATTTATGGTACTAACAACTATACTTTCCTTGTTATTTTATATCAGCTGTCATTACCAACTTTGAGCCCTTTGCTTCTATTTCTCTGTCTCTCAAAAAAAGCTACTTTCGATGTGGTTGACCTTTATATAATTTTTCCAAAAAAGCTGTCTTCTACTTGTTATTGTTGTTGCTGCTGCAATGGAAATCATGGGTTCGATGTGGTTGACGGTGGCCTTGGCTACACTGGGTGGCTTTGCGTTTTTGAAATGGGTGCTGAAGAGCGTGAATCCGTGGGTGTATGAATCCCGGTTGGGCGATTTGCGGTACTCTCTGCCGCCGGGGGATTTGGGTTGGCCTGTCATCGGCAACATGTGGTCGTTTCTCCGAGCTTTCCGGTCCGACGAGCCCGATTCCTTCATGGGTTCCTTCGTTTCCAGGTACTTTTCAATTTTCATCACGAAAAAGTAAAGATTTAAACTTTGCTCACTACAAAGGATGGAAGCGTGTGAGTGATCAAGTTACAGAGTAAAAAATTACTCAACAATGGTGGATGATCACTTCATTTCCCACTTTCATTTTTTTTCTTTTCTTTTAAATATTATAAAATACAAGGTAAAGGTGTAGTTTCTTTGGTGTCTTCTAGTTGAAGACCCACCAGCTCCTGTCTCGAGAATGGAGCAGTTGCATCTCTTGTCGCCTACTGCAATGTCTTTTAGCGTCTCACTATTTTCCAAGACATTCCATTTTAGCTCAATGTTAATGTACTGATTATGCAGATTTGGACGCACCGGAATCTACAAGGCCTTCATGTTCGGGTGCCCGAGTGTGATCGTAACCAGGCCGGAGACGAGTCGGAAAGTGTTGAATGATGATGATGCATTTAAGCCTGGATGGCCTACTTCCACAACTGAGCTCATAGGTAAGAAATCGTTCATCGGTATTTCGTATGAAGAACACAAGCGTCTCCGCCGTTTAACCGCAACTCCGGTCAATGGCCATGAAGCACTCTCCATTTACATCCCCTACATTGAGGAGATTGTGATATCTACCCTGGACAAATGGTCTAAGATGGGGAAAATCGAGTTCTTGACCGAGCTCCGAAAGCTCACTTTTCGGATAATCATGTTTATTTTCCTAAGCTCGGAAAACGAAGAGGCGATGAACGCTTTGGAGAGGGAGTACACAACTCTCAACTATGGAATTAGAGCCATGGCAATCAATATCCCAGGGTTTGCTTACCATAAAGCCCTCAAGGTGGGAATTTCTCACTTCTTTCTTGCGTGTGAAGCTAACTGTCTTGTGCTAGCAAGGTATAATATTGAAATGCATTTTCGTTTTCTTCAGGCTCGGAAAAACCTCGTGGCGGCTTTTCAATCCGTGGTGAGCGAGCGGAGAATTCAGAGGAAGACAAACACCTACACCACAAAGAAGAAAGACATGTTGGATGCCCTGATAGATGTTAAAGACGAGAAAGGTGTAACACTGGATGATGAGGAAATCATTGATATCATGTTGATGTACCTGAATGCTGGCCATGAATCTTCCGGCCATACGACAATGTGGGCGACTGTTTTCCTGCAGCAACATCCTGAATACCTAAATGTAGCTAAGGTGGCATTTACGATTTAGATGTCATAAATGAACATTCGTTTTCGAGCAGTGTTTGAGCTTGAGTGTGCTTCTTTATCGTTACACTTTACAGTATTGTTGTATACAGGAAGAGCAAGAGAGGATTCTGAAGAAAAGGCCACCAACCCATGAAGGTTTAAATCTCAAGGAAGTTCGAGAAATGGAATACCTTTCTAAGGTACATCTTTAACCGAATATTTGGATGCTAAGTATAGTTCGGAACCCTTTATCTCGAACTGCTTAATTTGATTTATATATATATATATGAAGGTGATTGATGAGACGCTTCGGTTGATAACATTCTCCTCGATGGTCTTCCGTGAAGCAAAAACAGACGTCAATATAAGTGGTCAGTTTTAATGTTATGTGTGTATGCATACCGCATACATGTCCTCGGCCAAGGTCGGGGACAATGTGAAGTGATATTTTTCCGTCATTCATGCATAGAGCTATCTGTCTTTCAGGTTATACTGTCCCAAAGGGATGGAAAGCACTAGTTTGGTTCAGAAGCATTCACTTGGATCCTGAGATTTATCCGAATCCAAAAGAATTCGACCCTTCTCGATGGGATGTAAGATCCATAAAGCATTTCATATTTCCTGTATGTATGCATGTAATGATGGTTTCTTAAGTTCAAAATTGTTCATGTTCAGGACTATAACGCCAAAGCAGGAACTTTCCTTCCCTTTGGAGCTGGAAGCAGACTGTGCCCTGGAAATGATCTTGCCAAGCTTGAAATTTCCATATTTCTTCACCATTTCCTCCTCAACTACAAGTTATTTTCGATTGCTGATATATTTCCATGATTATATTATAAATTCAAGCTTAAAATTATTGATTTTAACGTCGATCGATGTCGAAATGCAGGCTGGAACGTCTTAATCCCGGGAGTAAAATTAGGTATCTACCTCATACAAGGCCTCAGGATAATTGCTTGGCAGTGATCAAGAAAAACTAGCCTTTTCAACTTCTAGCAAGTTATTGGGAAATTCTAGACAGCAATAATAAAAGTAGCAATAATATCTTTCCCGGGGGATTAGGAGTGCAGGATAACTCGGTTAGAATGTAAGCGAATCGACTGTCGAATGAAACAGAAAAAAATGGATGAAACTGATGTGTTGAGATCAATATGTAGCAGTCTCTATTCATGTTTACGGTGCATGTCAATCTCTGCTGCATGAAACAACTTATTTTTTCCATAGTAATACAAGAGATGAAAGGATTGCCAGTTAAATGATATACAAAATACACCCGAATTTTCGATTAAATACCTAAAACATTGCATAAACACAGCTTCCACGCATCGCGGTAAGAACCAAAAAATCGAAAACAAAAAGGACAATGTATACAAGCACAAATTCGACCTGATTCCTTTGAACAAAATAAACCTATGAAGTGACAATCAAGATGAATGGTTAACATAGCTCACCATAACGCTTTGATGTACCCCGTGAAGGTTTTTTTTCTATGGGTTGATGTTGCACTCTCGCATATACGTGATGTCGTAATCTACGTACTTTGTCCAACGGTTTTTATACTTAGGTATGGCGATCTCCAACCATGGTTTCGAGTTGCCATTGTAGTGTATAACGGCAGCTTCTTCGATCTCCCTCTGGTTTACATTAGGATTGTAGCCAAGCCCGAGCGCATGCCAAGATTTGTCCAGGGAATATGTGCGTTTCCAAAATGTTATGAGACCAGGAGGCAGGGTCCCCAGCTTCCACAGTTGCCGGTCGCGATTCTGCATATAAAAGTTAACTTCGGAATCAAAAACAAAGATAATACACCAGCATAATACTATGTACAAGGTATAGGGAATGTCCATAGTGAACTATGAAAATTCCGAGCTGTTTTTTATCATTTACAACGACACTACATTTCTGAATGTACGATAATGTGTGACCGGGAGGCTTAGGCACCCAAGGCGCATAACCAAGCAATGCTAAACTAGCCGTTTAAGCATAGTATATGTGAATTACATCTAACTTAGCATGTATTATCTGTTTAGCCAAGCTCACTTACCAGCCTCTGCCATCGATGATACACCTCGGTGATGTTTTGCCGCCTCCATTCATTCAAATCAAAAATATTCATTCCATATGCCCATCCACAAGCATGCGGGTCGAAGTTCTTTGAGATTAGGGGATTTGAGAAGTTGAGATACCAATCAAACCGATGGAAGCTTTCTCCGCATGTTTCAACAGCACCATTGACACTGCCCTTTAAATCAAGGGACCAAAGGCCAGAAAGGTCCTTCTGGACCACTATATCATCATCTAGGAACAACACTTTATTTAATTTTGGGAAGATCTCCGGTAGATAAAACCGAAGATGGTTTAGGATGGACAAGTATTTTGGGTTCCGAAACTTCAGATTTTTATCAGAATTAGCCCGATGTGCCCTGAAGTAATAATCAATCATGGAGGGAGAACCTAACTGCTTAAGAACTGGACTGTAGCTTGAGTTTAACCACGTAAATTCTTCAATGTTCTGGACCTGAATAGTGGCTTTCCCTGGTGGATTACCTAGAAACCACATTCTCATCGCTGCATAATTAAGCCTATCCGTAACAATGTGGAAAACATGATTCGAAGGGTGCTGCAAAGAATTAAGTAAATTTGATGAGTTCAACATGTCAACAAAAAGCAGGGATCAAATGTCGTTATCTACATACCAAGCTGTTTTATACAAACACACGCATGCGTTCGAACAGATACTCCAATATTTACTTCACAAGTGTATAGATTAAAATGAAAAACAGCCTTTTTATCCCCCAGCAACTGAAGGAAGAACGAGTTAAATCTCTGCAGAAGACTACATTTTACCTTAGCATGGGAAACAGTTGAGTTTACAACAACTGCCGCTGCCATTATATTATCAGAGAAAAGAGCATAATGGTAGAGACGAGGGTCTTCTAATTTCTGCTGATTCGGAAAGTTTTGTTGAGAAGAATTCAAGCTATAATACTCGGTAGTAAGGCGCAAGGGCAGGCAATGAAGACCCTTGGGAAGAGTTTTTGCAGTTAACTGTGTCAAGAACATGGTCTGCTTTTTGTGCACTCGAAGTTGCTCTTCAGATGACTGAAGCATAGCTCGCAGCTTCTTTACCACAGGAGTGCAATCATCTTGAACCTGCTTCGCCTTTTCTAATGATTGATCCATTGCTTTCATCTTATCAATGGCACTGCAAAAGAAAAAGAAAAAAAGGAAAAATTAACAAATTGGGTGATTGAACCTGAAGAAATAAAGGAACACATGCAGGAATTTGACAAATGAAAAGAACAACCAAGAAAGTTTAAACATAGAGCAGCAATCCTATGCTCAGAAAGAAGAGTTACCTTTTTGGCAGATCTGTGTCCTTAGTTGCATCACCAAGAGATCGTGTAACTTCCTTAACCCGCAGTCGAAGCTCCCTTGTAACATGTGGGTTGTTTTTTATCGATGGAAGGGAGAGATATACTTTTGCACGGATGAGCTGATCTTTGAGGCGGCGCACCTGAGCATCTGCTGGTTCAGACTGTCTGTCATTCTTGTTATCCGAAATCTCTGTCTGATCAATCCTGGGAGCCGGTTGAGTTGGTTGCTGCTCAAGCTTTACAGCCTATTCATAAAGCAAACAAGGTATGGTAACTGTTAGCTAAGCCTAGAATTAGGTCCAAAATTTCCTCTCATTGTGAATCCTGGAAATGTGGCTGCATCAAGGAACTGGTCTTAGCCGTGTAGAAACGATGATTCGGAAATGCAAAACAACATTGGCTAACGAGAATAGCACAAATGCCAACAAGCATGAAAGGGTTACGGATTAACATCCCTTCAAGGATCAGCTTAAGGCAGACATTTCTGTATCGGTGACAATTGAAGCAAAGTACATAGCAAAGATTTAGAAAGTACAGACGGGACAGTTCAAGTTTTGCTAGCATTAAAACATTTTCAAAATGCTCAAATACAAGAACAAGATGCAAGTGATCAAATCAAAAGAACATACAGAAACCGAAATCAACAAATATCGTGAATTCCAAGTAAAATGCTGCTATGGCAATACAAGAATACTTCAAAAATAGACCGATTTATAGTAGGCGAAAACTGGAAGCAATTACTGATATGTTAGAGGCATTGAGATGGGAATCGATGGCGGTGGTAAGATTGGGAGGTGCACCATCGACGACCTGCCTAATGGGGTTAGACAATTGCTGTTGCCGTCCTTCATCGGTAGCAGAAAGCACCCGTGTCGACTTATGCTCCGTCGTCACTGTCGTTGAGAATCATGAAACACCACCAATTCAAATTCACATTGCCCCCTTTTTTTCTTTAACAAAAGCAAACAACAAAATAAAAAACTCACCTTTAGGAAAGGAACCGGTAGATTGGTCAGAATATACAACTCCAATGGGTTCTTTCAGGGTGAAAGTTTCCTAAGACAAACAAAATTTAGACATTGAAGACAATTAGATCTGACATCAATCAACAAAATTGGAACTAATCTACTATGTTGAAAATTGAACTACCTGGTGCTGAAAAACATTGAGATGTCTGGTATTATCACCAGACAACATCTGCACAAGAAAAGAAAGAATTCAACTTTATTTTTTCCTGCTTCAATATTCTATACCATCAAATTCGTTAACCCCCAAAAGAAAGAAACTTACAAAAGCTCCAACATCATCAAGAAAATCGCGTCTTGCTGCAGAGATCAAACAAGGGGGGAATGAAAAACAAAACCAATGGTTATAAAAAAAGAAGAAAAAAGAGAGAAGCTTTACATACAAGAAGAAGGATTGACGAAAGTTCCGACCCTTTCAGTGTAAAGAAAAATGGGAGCAATGACTGTAACAGAGAGCAAACCCAATACTACATGCCTCAATTTCAACTTCATGGTTTTTTCATTAGTATAATATCCACTATCTAATTATGAAAACAGTTTGCTCACTTCTTATACCACCACCACCACCACCAAGAATAGAAAGGAGAATGAAAACCACCCACCGTGCGGGGAAGAAGAAGAGAGAAAGATGAAGCGATCTTGTATGAGAGAGGATTCTATTTCTGGGGTTCCAGTTGTAGTGTTTGTAGATCTAGATGATATAAATGAATGCTCTTTTTCCTTTTTAATCATTTAAAAGAGAGCCGTGATTACTTTAAGCTGTCGATGGTCAATCATTGCTGTTTCCCGTTGCTGCCTTTGGTTTTTCGTTCTAAAAAATGTTATTATGATTTCTTAAATTACTCACTTAATCATGCTTAAATTCATGGACATGGAGGAAAATAAGAGCGTCGGCAGATGCTGCAGATTCAATACTCTTCCCCCCGGGCGAAAGTGTTTATGAACTGGATTGACACAATTATAGCTTCTTCTTTTTTAAATAATTTATGTTTGTTCAACTTGAAAAATTTATCTATGTTACACTAATACAGATACGGATATGAATATGGGGACGGATACGGATACAGGGATGAAAATAATAATTTTTAAAATTACAGGATACGGAAACGATAAAAGTACGTCATATAAAAAATTTAAATTATAAATAGATGTAAAAATCATAAATAAAGTTAATACTTCATTATTTCATAGAAAATTAAAAAATAAAATCCATAAGTAAATTATAATATTAGAAAATAAAATTCATAAAGTCAATATTTCATAGAAAACTTGAAACCATAAGATTTGAGAATTTTGGCTTAAATCCCTAAATTATTTCCATGACTAAATTGTAATTATTATAAAGCATGTAACTTTTTTTGTAAATCCTAAAATATTTGAGGACTAACTGCAATTATATCAGTGTTATAATAATCACAAATCTCCAGCTTTGCTTTAACATTTGGCTGTCTCTCTATTTCTTTTCCTCTTATTGCTCGTCCATTCTCGTCTCGTCTAAATTGTTCTTATTGATCTAAGGTAAGTAGATCGTCGGTCATCTCCCAAAAGCTTCTACGTTATGATTTTAACTCTCGCCGTCGACGTGGGACTGTATTGATACGAAACTCGTGAGTTTTAACTCCACCAATGTGGTACGTCTCCGGTACGTATCTCAACCGTTCCCGTGTCATTCTCGTATTGGAGACGTATCAATTACTTAAAACGTAATTCCTTTATCGTTTTCGTGCTTCATAACAATTCATCTTATTATTTAAAAGTTAAAAATTATATAATTTTTAATTTAAATTTTAAATCAATCTTTTGAGTTAAATTATATAATTTACTCCTCAAATAGTTAACTTTTAAATAATTTATTTATTTGTATTTTATTTAACATAAATTACTTTAAAATCATTGAATTTTAAGTTTTAATATCAATTTTTGATTATTTAATTATGACATAAATTTTAGTCTAGACTTTAATTATATCTTATAAAAAACTTTAATTATATCACTGAACCATCATTTCATCAACAACACGATACATGACAATTTGATGCTACGAGAAAATAAAAAAATTATTTTTTATCAATCTTTTTATTAAAATTATAGTTTCTTTTATCGGTTTTATTTGTCGAAAACTATTATTTTTCTATATTTTTGCATCCACCCTAAATACTGATATACTCGTCTTATCATCTTCTATTATTTTGTTGGTTTAGATTTTTTCTAAAAAATCTTTAAAACTCACGAAATTAAACATTAAAAAATCATATTTTTTGAGTTTAGAATTTTTTTTTAGATTTAAGGGTTTCTATATTTGTTCGAAAATGCAATGGTGAGAAGCATTCTTTCAAAAAACTTGAACAATATACTTCAAAATTATCCTCATCGTATGATTATCGGGGGAATCAAAGTATCAAGTCATCAAATATTTAGATAAATTTTTTATCGGTTTCAAGTGGATTTCATGAAAAATCAATCTAAGAGTAAATTGCATCTTCATCCCCAAGTTGTATGCAAGGTTGCAATGGTACCAAAAGAAGGCCTATGACTACCATCATCATAAGAAAGAAGATGATGTGCAGCCAACAACTGCATAACTTTCCCTGCAAGTAAAACAGCAGCAGAAACCTAAAAGAACAAAACAAACACAACTGAACAGCATACCAGGATTCAAAAACTTTCTACCAATACTTTCCATTTTTCTTCCAGGACAACATGATCCTTTAAAATCTCCCAATCTCAGTAATCAGGATGAACATTCAGATGAAAACAAAAAATTCTGCAACTTCAGATGAAAACAATATCTTGCTACCTCACACAACGTGTTTTCAGTCATTTTGTCGAACCGAAGTGCGAAGAACGATGCAAGTTGCATTAGTGTTTCAGCTTCATTCAATCAGTAGTCACTGAATAAATCGTCTTCACTATCATCATCATTAGAGGCAGTATTACTTCCAGGTCTTCCACTTGAAACATCAGTACGCTTTCCTGTAATAGCGTCCTTCGTAGGACAAGATGACCCTTGTCTTCCGGTCGAACTATCGGAAGTGTATGCCCAGGAAGAACCCACTTTGTCAGACAAAGATTCTCCATAAAGATCATCGTAAATCCCACCTTTAGGAGCGTTTTTTACCTTATCCAAGACTTCCTGCAGTTTATCAGTCGCACCTTTCTGAATAACATTTTCTTCCTTTATGGATGATTGATCCTTACCTTTAGGAATTAAGGTTGTCTGTACAAGTGATTCGTATTTTCCAAAGAGACTTCCTTCTTTAACACCTAGGGTCCCGGGTTCGGTTTCTACATCCGCACCATCTGAAATTCCAACAACTTCAACCAGCTCTCCCCCAGCGTGATCCTTGAAGGTCACTTTCAGTTTCCTCATTCTCTTAGCGCATCTCTCTGCCTCTGTGCTGTCTTCTTTTCCAGATAATGAGATGGAAGACGCATATGAATTTGGCATCGGATCAGGTTTGCTCAGACCGTAACGATTTATAAGTGGATTGTATGCAACAACAGCTTCTTCATCAGAAGGACTGGGCATTGGGGGTAGATTTATCTCGGTGGGAGGAGGACGACGAGGAAATAGAGCCACATTATTCTTCTGTAAGATATAAGTTCTTGTTGATGCAGCAAAGCACAAAGATTGCCCTACTTCAAGTTCAACCGGTGTGTCTTTTGTCAAACGCTCATTTGCAACAAATGTTCCATGTGCTGACCCCAAATCGATTACATATATGCTGTTAAGATTGTAACAGCTTTATAAATCATTACTATATCCAAGAATGAAGATGAAGATTCGATTTCAGATAAATAGAAATAAGGCAACAACTGGAAGAGAATCAACGTCAATTCGAAACGTCAATTAGCAATCTCAACAGAGTAGCAAATACAAAAGAAACAGAAAAGGAAGTGACCTGCCATTCTTGTGAGGAACAACAGCAGCATGCTGGCGTGAAACCGACTGATGATCAAGCACGAAATCGCAAGTATGATGTTGCCTCCCAAAGATGTGCCTGCGCCTATCGAGTTTAATGCGATCAAGCACCTGTCCTTCCTTCACAACTTCGAGATAATAGACACCGGGGCGAGGCTCAACAGCCCAATCAGGAGGCAACCAGGTATATTGACCCCCACCAAGCTGAGTGGCTGGCTGAACCTGAGTTTGGTCCTCCTGCTGAGGCTGAGCAGCCACATTTTGAGAATGCGAATGTTGTTGAACTCGAACGGGTGCGGTTTTCGGGGCAGAATTTATCGAGACCGAAAAGGGTTTCAAAGATTGAGCTTTCCTGAATTTCTCAAGACCACCTCTCCCGTACATTTTCTTTTATTCCCTATCGATTATATTCCCCAGGTTTATTCAGTAGACATCAAGTTTAGCAGTAACCCTCTCCACCTCAATCATTCACAGTCACAGAACTGCAAAATCTAGATTCAAAAGCCCCCATTTAGATTTTGGAGAAAATGGATAGGAGTTCGAAAACCCAGATTTCTCCAACCAATGATATAGATAAATCATGGCCTAAAAGTCAGTTTTCGAACAGAAAAGATCCAACCCTCTACAACCAAATGCATAAAAAGAAAGAAGAAAAGAGATGAAGATGAAGTTGAATGAATAGCAGATAGAGAGATAGAAAGGGACTGACTAACCTTTGGGCAAATAGCGATAACGGAGAGAGCGGCAAACAAATCGACATTCAATATACAAATCCAACACTCTCACGGTGAAGGCCAAATCAACAATCAGAAGGAAGCAGCTTTCTTCGTTATTTTCGGCGCGCTAGTTATTCCCGGTGTTTTCTTTCTCTGTTTCGTAATTTTATAGAGTTCAATCAATTTTATTTATGGGAATTGGATTTATTTTATATCATATGGAGTAACTGCGGATAAACGAATAAAGTTCGAAACTTTGGGTTTACAGACTTGCATCATGGGCACCTTAAGCTCAGTAGTGATTAAAAAAAAAACCAAACCCGTCCCGGTTCGATAAAATGACACGTGACATGTTCTGATTGGACGTCGATAATTGTACTTACCAACCACCATATGCATCAGTATACTAATCCTACACCTCCATCCATTTGACTAATTTACACTGCAAAAAGAATAACTTCTTCTTCCGTTATGCATTTAAATTATGATTACAGCAGCTCGTCAATAAACAACAGTTATCGGTTGCTCTTCGCAATTCCGTTCCGGTTTTTAGAATACAATGATAATCAATAATCTTACAAAAACAGTTCAAAGAACAACGGAGGCGTATCTCCGGCCGGGTTCTGGTTAAAGCAGCCATAACACACCTAGATTTTATGAAGGCCGTAACTTTAAAAGGCTGCTTCGACGAGGGGATTCGGTCGCTACTAGCATTAAACTCTGCTACATTCTAAAAACAAGTTAAAGCCGAGTAAGCTGTCAACCAGCAGTTTTCGCATTCGCTTTCGAGCAAAAGTTTCGGTTCAACTTTGAGTGAGATACTCGTGCAGATCACAGCTGTGCTGCAAATCTGGATAAATCTAATTTTCACAAACGTAATACGCACCGAAGAAAACAAACCAAAGAATGCAGTCAATCGGAAATTGTATCAGCAATGCCAGTCACATACTATCTTGAGGTATATTCCTTCTCAACGACACCAAATATCACCTTCAGGCGACCTTCTAGATTCGAGAAGATGTTATTGGCAATCCGTTTTTCATGCTTTGTGCTTTTCAACCACGCGATTCCGAAAAATACTCGCACCTGGCATCCCTTTGCTCTTGAGTGTAAGTCCTCGATATGGTATCTAAGGTGAAGCTGAAAAATATTGAAAGTTCAAAATTGGGTCAATAACGAGGAAGCCTCACACTTGAAGATAAAACCGATAAATTGTTCTCCGTGGTATTCATACATTGAAATGGTCCCCGAGTGGAACACCGTGGAGAGTCATAACTTCTTCGATAAGCCAGCCGTTTTTGTCGGGAAGTAGGGATTTCTGCTGCGTACTAGTCACCTCTCCTCTATAGCCGGATACATGCTTATCGAATCTGTAATATACTTGCCTCTCGTACACATCAGGCTTTTCTGATTCCCATGGAGTGCAAGAATAGTTGAGACCGCCGGCTCTCTTCATAGCTTTATATTCCAATTCACCACCACTGAATAAGTCCATGACGAAACCGATCTGAATCACCAATAAAACAATCACCATCTGATCACAGAAAATATATCTAAAAAACATGTATATGAAGGGTCATATGCTACATTTACATATTAGGACTCCATTAATAAGATTTAACAAAAGGACTGGCAGTGGTCGAGCTGTATGATGCGAGAAACTAGTTCCATAGGTTCACATAGGGAGAGATGTGAAGGACTTACGGGAATAGGAAGAGAACGCGAATAAACCTCAGACATAGAGACGTCCTCGAGGACTAAGAAAGATCCACTTTCATCAGATTGGAGGCCTTTTGACTCGGACTCTTCTTCAGCTATTTGCACTTTCTGCTCTGGGCTCAAGGCTCTGGCTTTCCATAAAGCCATGATTGTTCTAGACAACAAAAAAATGAAAATTAATAAACATATCAAAAGATACAGAAAAGCATAAACTAAATAAAAACAGAAATCACAGAAGATAGAATGCTCTTTTACCGATGAGCTATGTTGAAAGATACAAAAGACTGAAAATGAAACTTTAGCCGGCCTTCCTCGTCTTGAGTCTTTGCACCGTGTCTAGCATCCATTCCTCTTCCTGGACGGAGAGTCACAACAATAACTGGACTGCCCATTGATGCCAGAGTAGGTGGGAAAACTTGAATATCTTCAATGTCTTCCCAAAGGAAGAAGAATTTTGTCCGGTGGCCGAATAAATTGGCATGAAACCCAATTATTCTTGGTGATAAAAACAAGCGACCCTGCATAGATGCTACGTCAGATTAACAAAAAGGGGCAAACACAGTAATATTAATTACTCATAGTAAACATAACAAAAGTGAGCTTTACAAAATATTATGTAGCTAGACAAAACAGAACCTGCAGAGGCATTCTCCGTTTCAAATGACAGGTAAAATCGTTGATGAGAAATTCCTCTGGAGGAAGCCCGAAGAGTTTCTGAAAGGTTGAATTTGTTTGAGGGGACCTCACATTTATCTGCAAAATAGAACATTTGGCCTAAAGTAAATAACAAGAATGGACAACAATATTTTATTCTTGGTCGATTGAAGCTAAAAGAAGAACAACTATCTATTTACCTTCTTCCCCACTTCTTTCTCCATCTTTTTTAAGTACTCTGCAACTACATTTCCACCTCTCGTATTTTCCACAAAAATTCTCAAGTGCAACTTAGACTGGCATGCCTGAGCCAACTTACCTTGCAGAGGAACCCACACATCAGCTAGATCAGATATATTAGATCTTACAAAATTAACCTCAGCACGTCCCAAAGATGTAGGTTCATCAAAAGGCCCGTCAAAATCAAAAACTTCTACGTCCAATACGGAAGGAGGTTCTTTCATAGCATCGAATTCAAATATTTCTGCAAAAAGCAATACTCGAGAAATGATTAAAGTGACTCATTATTCAAAACTACGCTAGTGCAGCTGCAAACATGTACACTGAACCCAAACATAGACAGAGCAATGTTGAATTCACCATTCCACTGGGGTGCAGATTTCTGGTACTTGATTGAGCTGGTTCTAGTTTTCCCATTGCACGTGAACACCACATATGGATCACAAAAGCCGCTGGAATCTACAGCGGCTAAATTACTCCCCTCGATCAATGCAACTGTTAGTAACCATCCATCCCCTTGCGCTTTCACTCCATGATCACTCCCTATTGTTAGAGACACAAAAGAAAAAGGAAATCAAAGGCCGAGACACAAGAAACAAGACATGGCAACTCTTCTCATGGGCTGGGCAGAGTAGTTATTAAATGTAAAAATTACCTTTCTGTGCTCTGGCATGGACATAGCGTGAGATTAACTGTAGCACCCTTTCACCTTGAAGAACCAAAACAGCACACACAATCAATTCACCAATTGAATCAGGCAAGTCAAGCCCAACGAACTCGAGTCCTTGAATTGTACTAGGTCCAACTAGGCAGATATGGACTATTACATATAAGCTCATCAAAACTGTGGAAGCTATGGTAAAATTAGCCAAGTACTGGACTGCCAACTTCCAATCTGACTGAGGTTCAGCCTGCAATGATCCCAAAAGCTGTTCTTTGTTCAACCCGAGATCCTTTGGATCAACTGGCTTAATAGTCTGCTCCAGTAGAGTAGTGAAATGCTCAAAGCTTTCCCTTAAACCCTGTCGGGTTCCATTTTCTATAATACCTTTCATCATGGTGCTCTGCAAGAAGTTCGTTCTCCATGAAATCACCAAATGGGACGATTGTTCTCCAGATGGAAGCTCAGGCCCAGGAGTAATGCAGTACAGCACTTCGGTTTTGAAGGTGCTCCCGTACATAACATCGGGAGTGCTCACGACTGATAAAACAGCAAAAGTCTTCCCATCAGCTTTTATATATGTGTGCTCTTCGGTGGCTTTCACAGCTTTAATTAATTTGGTCGGAGCCCTGATGTACGAATAAATTCTTTGCAAGCTCTCACCACCATTCTCAAATTTCCAAGGTCCAAATTGTAGATCAGTAGATCCCTGCAACTCTGCTACTGACCTAGGAAAATTTGAATCAGGTGAGAAAAGCAGAGAGTTTAGTTCTTTCGGTGCAATCACATACAATTGGTCTAGAAGCACTCCTCCAGGTAAATTACTTGGAACTTCGCTCCCCTGATCTCTCGAGCACAGCGCTTCAACCGCTTCCTCAAAAGAAGATGACTCATCATCAGACTTGTTATCGACAATATCAGCACTCCAAATTTCAGGTATCTCTGTCAAATCAGTACCCCTACTGGATGTAGTAGAAGCAGTGTCAACATTTCTATTAAACATTTGAGTGATTCGACCTGCTAGGGATTTCTGTGCAGATGATTTCTCTTCCTTGGAAGACATATTATCATCTTGTCTCGGCGGAGAAGACGAGTTCGATGAACCACTAAAAGACCTAGAAAGATCATTACTAGCCATGTCTTCATGCTTCCTAAATGTCGGTGCAGGATCACCGTTAAAATTCAAATTGTTTAGGGAAAAATAGATACTCAAAAGTATTTCACCTACAACCAAAATTGAAACAAAAGTATATAGGTAAAGATTCAAGCAGACAGTATATAACCAATACCAATTGAAACATGTATTTCAAGACTGGAATCTTTGTACCCTAGATTCAAACTACTTAGATAAATACTTTTGTGTGGGGGGGGGGGGATGACCAAAAGTGGCATTTGTACAATGATCCTCATATAAAAAAAGGGTTTTTTTGGCAGATGCTGAGAAATGAAAGGTGCAAATAATAGAAAGCAAAAAAGAAAACATACCACAATCCTTGTTCTTCAACTTCTTGTTCTTAGGGTGAAGTGCATACCAAGCGGTGCCAAGAGATTTGTTATGAGCATCGAAAACCTGGGAAACGGGGACTTTAAGGTGCCCAACAAAATCATCATTGAAGTACTTATCCTCGTCCAAGACAGAGATTAGCAGCTCCTCATTCAAATCCTCCACCTTGAAACTAAATTCCTCACCCCAAATCGGATTCAATGTCTTCTTCACCACTTTGGTTTTGTACCTCTGTTTTCCAAGCTGAAGCTTCACGTAGGGATCACTGAACCCATTTATATCCATGGCGGGTATGTTTCTAGCTTCCATTACGCCCACGATAAGCTTCATTTTGGGATCTTTTTCCCTCTATAGGTTCCCTCAACCCAATCAAACTTTAGCCTTGATCGATAATATTTAATTTTATTAAGAAACAAAACCCACCCACCGACAGGCAATCAACACTGTATCTCAGTCATTGATAAAAACAAAAGAACACCCAAGAAAGAACAATGCCTAGGAATATTCCACTTCTTCCAAAGTAGCTATATTTCTTCAATGTCTGGGAGAAAGAAAGAAAGAAAGAAATACACGACTCTCCCAAGCTAAGATCGTTTGAAAATACACAAGGGCCGCTGCTAAATTGATATAAAAAGTCAATCAAACTCGATTACTTATCATTTATCTAGAACTAAAGCAGTTCCCAGTGTTATGTGCTAAATTAAGAGCTCAAACAGTATCAAGTTTCAAAATTGAAGAGGAAGATAAGATCAAAAACAGCAGCTACCGAGACACGTATATGTATGATAAGCTAAAGAATAAATTTGGGGACTTTTTTTCTTTCGTAAAGATTCGCAAATGACGAAAACGGGGAAGAAGAAGAAGAGAAATTATGCTTTGATCTTCGGCCTTGAGTCAATTGAAAGAAAAGGGAGAGAGCCTTTCAAGTTTTCAACGTTGGCAGCTTTTGTTTTTTGATTCGTTTAAACGTTGCCGTTGTGTCTGCGTTTGCGCGTTTCAGTTTTGACCTCTTCTTATGGGAAAATTATGATTCAGTCCCTGTATTTACATTTTATCTACCTATTTCTTTTATATCTTTATGGAAAGAATTTTATACTATCATTTTCATTTTATACTATCAAATATATTTTTAAAAAACAAATAAGAAAAAAATATTATTTTTTATTTGATTGACTCCTTCAACAAAATATTAAATAAGAACTAAACTACAATGGTATAATAAAAAAATTACCCCACAACGTTTGTAGAAATAGTCATTTTGTCCCATCTTTTTTTTAATCATTTTAAACCCAATATTTTATTTTTGAGTAAAATGCTCCAGGTTGAATGAAAATCGTTAGTTGACTAACAGTCAACGATTTCTATTGACGTGGAAGGTCCACATGTGATGCCATGTCATTAAAAAATTATTTTTAAATTATTTTTTAAATATATTTTTATAATTATATATATGTAATTAATTACAATTACACTTTGCCTTAAAAAATTTCTAATGTGACATCACATGTGGGTCTGTCACGTCAATAGAAAGTATTAATCGTTAGTCAATTAACGATTTTCATCTAACCATGGGGTATTTTACTCCAAAATAAAATATTAGGGTCTAAAATACTCAAAGAAAAAAAGAATAGGAGCAAAGTGACTATTTGTGCAAACGTTGGGGGTAATTTTGTTATTACGTCAATTAAAATATGGAGATGAATTCTTAACTTACATTTAGCAGGGGACTAATAATATAATTTGACCACTAATTCATCACCAATCTTAATAAAAAATAGGGTAAAGTATAGTAATGGTCACTGAACATTTCTGAAGCTTGCATTTAGGTCCCCCAACTTTTAAAACTTACAATACAGTCCCCCAACATTTATTCCGTTTGCAATATGGTCCCCTAACTTAAACTACTGTTAGAAAATTAGGGTAAATTATATAAACGGTCATTGAACTTTTCAGGCACTTGAATTTAGGTGTCCCAACTTTTAAAACTTGCAAAACAGTCCTCAATTTTATTCTAAACCCCAATTTCCAAAGTAATTCAATTTCATTCTAAACCATTGATTCTACTAAATCATAAATGATCACTGTATAAGAAAATTCAGGCGAATCATAAATGATCGCACTGTAAAGCACTGAAGGGTTAGGTACTCAAATCTGATAAAAAAATAGCATGCAAGAACATAGTGGTACTTAAATCATAATGCTCCAAATGAGTGTTCCGAATTTCATATAGTCAAAAGTTGAAGAAATGAGCAGAGTTTATGGGAAGTTGAAATACCGAATAGAGTGCTTACATTTTGCTATTCGGGATGTTTAATCAATACATATTGTTATTCAAAATTGATATAAACAGTTAAATAAACCTCAAATTTATATTGAAATAAATATTGTCAAATAGTAAATTCATGTTCAAAATTTCAAAACACCTTAATTTCATTATAAATCCTAAATTCCAAAATAATTCAATTACATTCTAAACCTTAAATTGAAGTATTTTAGAATTTGGGGTTTAAAATTTAATTGAATTATTTTAGAATTTGGGGTTTAAAATTTAATTGAATTATTTTGGAATTTAGGGTTTATAATGAAATTGAATTACTTTGGAAATTGGGGTTTAGAATGAAATTGAGGGTTGTTTTGTAAGTTTTAAAAGTTAGGAGACCTAAATTCAAGTGCTTGAAAAGTTCAATGACCGTTTATATTATTTACCCTAATTTTCTAACAGTAGTTTAAGTTGGGGGACCATATTGCAAACGGAATAAATGTTGGGGGACCATATTTTAAGTTTTAAAAGTTGGGGGACCTAAATGCAAGCTTCAGAAATGTTCAATGACCATTACTATACTTTACCCTAAAAAATATTGAATATGTGCACGAACCAAACGACCTCAGTGATAAAGGAATTGTTGTTTTTCTTTGAGGTTTCGAGTTCAAGCACTAGGAATATCAAAGGTGTGAGCGTATAATATCAAATGATTAAGAACTATCTTTGAACATATATTATCTTGCACTTACCCCAAATTAATAAAAAATATATATTAAATATGTGCTATCAACTAATAGATTAAAAATGAAAGTAAGAAACTGGTTGAGCTACCTAATAATCAAGTACCAATAACAGGATGGATTGAGGGAGTGGGTGGTACGGTTGTCTCACTAAAACTCTAAAATCAATATATATTTTATATTTTTTCTATGGATTTTTTATTAAAAGTTTATTTTCATTTCTTAAAATTTTATAAGTTTAAGTTTGTCTCTCAACTTAAAATCCTGACTCCGTCCCTTACCGATAATAAGATAATAATGTTTGTAATGGTAGGTTATGCAATTAAGCATCCAAAAGAAAAGAAAACGTGTAAAGAAATAATAAAATAGAAAATAACTTCAATGACTGAAAATACTTTATAATATACGATTTTAACCAATTTTTTTGGATTTACGAAAATAACCAACAAATTCGCAACTCAAACTCCAATTTCGCAACACAGTTTTCAAATTCGTAACTCAGTTTCGGAAATCGCAACGCGATTTTCCAAATTCGCAATGCAATTTTCAAATTCGCAACGTAATTTTCCAAATTCTCAATGCAATTTTTCAAATTCGCAACGCGATTTTCAAATTCGCAACGGTAATTACTGATATAGGTAAACAATACTATCGCAATGCAATTTTCAAATTCGCAACGCTAATTACCGATATAGGTAAACAGTACTATCGCAATACGATTTTCAAATTCGCAACGCTAATTACCGATATAGGTAAACAATACTATCGCAATGTAAACAGTACTATTGCAATGTAAACAGTGCTATCGCAATGCGATTTTCAAATTCACAACGCTAATTACCGATATAGGTAAACAGTACTATCGCAATATAAACAGTATTATCGCAACGCGATTTTCGAATTCGTAACGCGCTTTTCATATTTCTTTTTGCGATTTACATATTATCGTTGTGATTTACATATTCGCGTTGCGATTCATCTATTCGCGTTGCGAATTTAGAAAATCACGTTGCGATTTACCTATTCGCGTTGCGATTTTGGAACCTGTGTTGCGAAATTGGAGTTCGCGTTGCGAATTTATTGGTCATTTTCGTAAATCCAAAAAAAAGTTGGTTAAAATCGTATATTATAAGACATTTTCGGTCACTGAAATTATTTTCTTATAATTAAAAGGAAAGAAAGGTTGTTGCGTAGCATATTAATGAGTTATTTTGATGGTTTCATATATGTCAATTAAATAATTTAATTACTGTCATCGATTATGATTTCTACCATTTGTTTGCATTATTTCCTTTTTCTTCCCTATTTTAGATGTTATTTAATTTTTTATCTACTCTTACTTTAGATTATTTTTTTTATAGAAACAATTAATTTTATTTAAAATAAAAATATCTTAAATTACAATAAAGATTTACGATCACAATCGTAAATTATTATATTTGAGATATAGTTAATTGCATCACATGACCTTAAAGTATAACTCTCATTCTAAATTAGTCTCTAAACTTTTAAATCTTTCAATTTTATCCCTAAACTATGACTATCATTCTAAATTAGTCCTCAAACTTTTGAACATTTCAATCTCATCCCCGAACTATGATCTTATTTCTAATCTGGTCCTCAAACATTTTGAACATTCTGATTTCATCCCAAACTATGGGTATATACTAATCACATCCCTTGTTAATAAAATTGTTAGGCCATGTTATATTATTACATGTTTGAAAAATAAAATAAAATTTAGGTTAAATTATGGTTGAAACTGATTACATATTTGGATGTATTTGAGGATGAAATTGGAATATTCAAATTTTGGGGACCAATTTAGAAAGAGGGTCACAATTCAAGGATGAAATTAGAATGTTTAAAAGTTTAGGTATTAATTTAGAATGAGAGTCATATTTTGGGGATGGAATTGAAATATTCAAAAGTTTAAAAATCAATTTAAAATGAGAATTATAGTTTGGAGAAATATGATATAATTAACTTTTTGAGATATAATAAAATTAAAGGCATTTATCGGTATTAAATTTTGTTTGGGCTCAATACAGATGTTAGATCCGAATCTAATAAATTAATCTAAAAAATTTGACAATTTTGGCCCAATATAGTAGGCGGGCTAATTATTTAGCCCAATACTATACCCGATTTTTTGTTTTGAAAATTACGATATTTGTTATAGTGACTTTGAACTCGTCACGTGAATATGACAAATTCTAATAAAATATTTTTTTTTGGAACTTGTTACTCCGGCGTGACAAAATCTAATGAAAATTATATTTTTATTAGAATTCGTCACTTCATCGTGACGAGTTTAAATAAAAAATAATATTTGAATAAACTCGTCATGTGAGCGTGACGAATTTATCTTATATTATAACATTTACTGTAGATCCTAAATTAATTTTTAAAATTACCTAATAGGCTAATTTTTTACCCGCCTAACCTGTTGGACCAATTTTACCTTAAAAGCAAACAAGCTAAACCC